CCACGTATCTGCAGCCAAGATCTTAAAGAGCTACGCAAGCGGATCAATTCCCGGGGCTTCGGCTCAGACAGAGACACTATTCAGACAGCGGCCCGAGCATGAAATCCTGACACCCCTCCACACCCGAAGTCAAAGGGAATTTCGCCATTGAGTTCCATGGGCCAGGATTTCACCCTGTGTCTATACACCCAAGGGATTCCAGGACAAAGCCGGGTAGCTGCAGAATAAGGTTAGTCAAACAATGTAAGTATTACAAGCAATGCACCCGACTTGCATCTCCACCATAATTCAGTGGTCTCTTGCGAAAAATCTCAGGACCTGAATAAAATCCACAAAGGGCCGAAGATGATTTGTTACATGACTGGGGATTCTTCTACATTGCCTCTCTCGGACACAGCTTCATAAACCTGCCAGTAGCTTGCCTACAGCTTTCTGCCGAGGGCTCCATCCCCTGGGAGGTTGAAAATTGAACTGAGCAGGTTACTAGAAAATTGGCTGTAAGGAGGAATCGTGACACTGGGCAAGCTGGCCCAGGAGGTGGTCTTCCTCTCTAACTTGGATGATTCTGCGACTTGCCGGTCGACCACCAGTTCTGTCTTTTGTGTGCGAGAACACAACGCCACAACAAACTGCTCCCATGTGTACAGACCCCAGATCCAAAGAGGGCAAAACAGCGATGTGATCAGGTACCACAGTGGCAAGCACTGTCTACAAAGGGCAAGGCTGCTAGGATCATGCCTCTAGTAGTGGAAGCCATTTGAAGTACCTTGGAGTTTACACAAGGGAGATGTCTCTAATGACTATGAGGAGAAATGGTGACTTTAAACATCACCTTGACACACGTGTCTGCGCTGTATGCAGCATCCAGACGGGACATCTTGGGCTACAACAAGTAACGGAGGCATGTTTATCAGTTCCGACTAATACGACAAGACTAGACAAGATACTCATGTGACAGTGATTCTGAACTCTACTTATAACAGCTAGGTCTCAGGACAGAGCATACTCTCTGGTAAGGGCTCAGGATAATTACTGGTGCTTATGAATCCAAAGAAGGTTCCCTAGAATTCATTCACTGAACAGACGAATCTATGAAAATAAGCCTTGAACGGCTCCGGCCTTGGGAGACTGGGCAATCTTTACCAGGCCTGGTGCCTTTGGACACAGACGTGACGTCCAGAGGACTGAAATACCAACTGGAGAAGGACCGTGTCAAGAGCGGTCCTCAGGCCTGAACTGCATTACTGCTTCATTCTGCAGCAGCGTGCACAGCGAGTTGCTGAGATTCCTCTCAAAGAGCCGCCTCTGAACGTGAGCAGCACGTCGGCAAAGTTGCCAGGCCGTCCCACAAGCGGGAGCAGAAGGGGACGCGCATCTGCCCCCCGGGGAAGAGAGCTTTGCTTGGCCTGGAAAACGTTGGCACGTCTCAAAACCTGCAGAAAGAGGCTGCTAAAGAATGGCGCGTAATTGGGTCTGAGTGCGCGCTGGTGTGAACTTTGCCGTGTCGTCCCCAACTGCTTTAGAATGGGAGCATCTCCACCGCCTGGGTCCTAACTCAGGCTATGGAGTGTGCTCCGGTGATGCTATCAACTAGGCTCTTGGTTACAGCTTCCCACTGTGCTGAGGCAAAGTTCATTTTGGCTTGTTGCCAAAGCCTGTCTTTGCGCAGTCAGCAGAATGAGAGAGTTTTCCCCAGTGGCTGCTGGCAAGATTTAATGTTTCACTACTAAGGCAGCACCAGTCTTGTCCGCAATGTCTAGAGCAAACAGGCTTGTGCTCAGTTCCTTTTAAAATGGCCTAGAAACAAAATAACAAAAAGTCTCCTGCCCCGGCAAACCGACAGACCTTTTTGGGGACTGCCCCCAATTCTGCTTCCACTGAAGAAATGTTAAGGTACAAAGGAAATGTGCAACCTTGAACGTAAGTTCCTAGACATTAAGGTACTAAAGTAACGTGCAAGCTTGAAGTCTGATCTCACATCTCGCCGCATGCATTGTCCGCCACCCCCTGTATATTAGAATAGACATACAGCGATAATGGATTACTTGAAGCTGACAGATACTTTGCAACAAAATAATTCCGCCAAATACTTCTTCCCCCCTTACTTCCCTCCCCCCGAAACAAAAATCAACCGTCTCTCAGTCCCCTGGCAGTAAAAAACACCATTGGCAAAGGCCGCACGTACAGTACTCTAGTTTAATAAATAAATAACCTAACACACTGTCTACTATGGGAGCAAGTCCAGTTCTGATTGAAGAAGCTTGTACGGTTTCATCCTGTACTCCAGTTGAGAAAAGGCTTGGATTCTTGTTCCTTACTTCTGATTACAGCTGCTGAAACCTAATACCTGCAGAGGGAGGAGAAATACGAGTCTCAGTTAGTCATGGTGCATATAACCGTGCATGGTTCCTGAGCGCTGCCAGGATAAGACAAGGGCTACGTCTCCACTGCAGGCTTCTTGTGCGAGAACTGTTTTGCACAAGAGTTTCTGCGCAAAAATTCTTGTGCAAGAGCGCGTCCACACTGCCATGTGCTTTTGGGCAAGAGATGTGTTTTTGTGCAAGAGCCTCCATGGCCGTGTGGATGCTCTCTTGCGCAAGAAAGCTCTGACGGCCATTTTAGCACAAGAAACCCGTTGCCCATCCACGCTGCCTTCTTGCGCAAGAGGGCTTATTCCACATGGGGAGAGGAATAACTCTTGCGAAAGCAGCTCTCTCTTCTGATGCTTTACTATAAATGTACTTGCGCAAGAACGCACGTGTAATGTAGACGCTCTGCAAGAACAGCTGTTCTTGTGCAAAAAGCCTGCAGTGTAGACGTAGCCAGAGGGTATTGACTTAAAGGGCATAAACGCAAAGGAGGAAGGAGAGTGATTAGGAGGGGTAACCTCTTTTTCTCGGAAACACCACATCAAATTTAGACATCTCGTGCTCCCCCACAAAGCTCTTCAACTTTGCCCCACTATCCCAGATCTCTGGTACAATTTTCAAAAGCACCTAAGTCCCATTGACTTTTAATAGCCTGGCTGAAAAGCTTGAAGAATGGATGGTTTACACCTTGGTTTACACAATGCAGAAAAGAACAAAAATGATTTCGGAGTTGGCGGAAAAGCCTTCCACCGAGAGACGGAAAGAGCTCAGTCTGTTTATCACACAGAAGACTGAGAGGTGACTTGATTGCCATGCACAAGTACATTTATGGGGAGACCACACCAGATACTAAAGAGCTGTGTCATACAGCGGAGAAAGGCAAACATGAGCCAGTGGCTGAACGCTTGCCCGATTTAGGCATTCCTACATTCAAGCAGGAAATCAGGCAGAGTTTTAACAGTGAGAGTGATTAACCAGAGAACCAAAGGAAGTGGTGGGTTCTCTCCTCAGGCTTTGCCTACACTGCGAGTTTTTGGGGCAGAAAATATGCTAATGAGGGACTCATTAACATAAGTCAAGGTATCATTAGCATATTTTCTGCCGTTTCTTTTTGCACAAGGGGTTTTTGTGCAAAAAGCAGTGTAGCTGCTTCTGTTTTGCACAAGTTCCTTATGCCTCTCCTTTGCGCAAAAAGAAACGGCAGAAAATATGCTAATGAGTCTCTCATTAGCATATTTTCTGCCGCAAAAACTTGTAGAGTAGACAAAGCCCCAGTGTCTTCAAATCAAGGCTGGCTGTCTTTCTGGAAGATAGGCCCCATTCCAACACAAGTTATTGGACTCATTACAGGTGTAACGGGATGCAGTGTAATGGCCCTTTCTAGCTATAAACTCTATGAATCTAAGGGCTTAAGTGACTGCAGAACATGGGACGTAGAAGTTTCTGAAAATGTCACCCGTCTTTTATGCGTGACCCCCATGTACCCAAACGTCCGATAGCCAAGCACTTTGAGGCCGAGACTGTGTCTGGTACAATGCCCAGCATACTGTTGGTGCTCAACAAATCAGTATGGGACACGGAGCAAAGGGAAATTTAGACTGAGCAGCAGGAAATGCTCCCTGCTAAGACCGAGAAATGGTCTAGCTTGTGACACTAACGTCGGATGGGAACACACGCAGAGGGGGAGGAAGACAGGCTGGCGATCTGCAGGTCGTTCCCACCTCTCACTCTGAAGAGGATCTTTTAAGTGTTTAGGGGCCGAGGGTCTAAAGCTCGCGTCAGTGGTTCTGTACGTTACTGGGGTTCATACAGCAAAGGAGCATGTGTCGGCCCAGCCCCAGTCCTCAAACTCATCTGTGGAGGCGCAACCCCATTTCAGCCCTCCTGTAAACAGGAGCACAGGACCTTAAATGCTTGAGCGGATTGACGAGTAGTTTGACCCGGGAGAGGACCTGAGGTCTCTTAAGGAAACCTTTAATTTTCACTGAGCACTGCCAACCTTCCCAGATCCGCGCAGCCTCTGAGAATGACGGTGCTTGTCCCGAGTGATCACAATCGCAGGCTGACAGGAACAACAGTGTTTAAGCACCCCGAGGTGTGTTTTTAAAGACACAAACAGGAGTTATGCATGTAAGTCTAACCCACAGGGCAAGAGATGATATTCCAGGGCTGAGGTCTGGACTGTCCCAAGAATCTTGCCACTAGAAATCCTCCCCCAGGGTCACTAGCAATAATGCTGCTTGGTACCATGTTGTGCGTGTCAGATTTTTAAAAAAATTGTCATTTGAGTTGAGTTGGTGTCACTGAGATTTGCCACTAGATTGAATCAGATGGAAGCTGTCACCCTAGCCTGCCTCCTTCCACGCAAAGAGCGTGTCAGAGGTGATTGTGCATTGTCAGTTTTCCTTCATTCTGTACCCCCACCATTTCATATTGGGTCACGGTTTCTGGGGAATGGGTAATTACCAGCCCCCCGGGAACTGTTCTCAGGGTACCAGTGGAATCAGATGCTTAATCATGGCGATTATTCTTGCTCCCGTAGGTAGAGCTGAGCTGATATCCACATAACCAGGCGTGTGTGTGCGTTTATTACATTAGAGAGAAGGGCTGAGAGAGAGACAAACAGAAAGATGATGTTTAAAACCAGCACCTGTAGTAGTTTGGTTTGAAAGGCCCATTTTTATTTAGTCCCAGGTATTTCGCTTGTTCATCTGTTAGTTCTGTCAGATGGGCATCGAACGTTGGAAGATGAAGACTTGCCACATACTCATCTGCAACAGATTCAAGGGAGATTAGCTTGAACATGGCAAATCCCCTAGGTTCCCCCCTCACTGCTGGATGTACAAACCAAAAGGGTCCAGTTATGGGTTTGTCTACACGGCAATGTAAGCCCTAGCCTGGCCTTCCTTGTGTCCACACAGCAATTATGTTAACCTAGGGCTTGAATTTAGGGTTCCACGACCCTCCATGGCTAGAGAGTCCAAGCCCATGTTAAGCTGGGACCTAGGGTGTGCACACAGTCCTAGTTTTAATCTGGTCTCAGAAGTCTTCTGAATGTATCCCAGAGTTCCTTGGGGCAACCCCCTTAGTCCTCTCTCTGCCAAGGATCGGTGGTACTCTATTGCGAATGGAACCCACACCGCCCTTTGCAACTGGCAGTAGCTCAGGTCAGCATTAACCCACTGTCTGCCGAAAGGGTCTGGAAGCCCCCCTATTGGAGAGCCTGCAGGCTTTTGAAAGGGGACCAATCAGCAGACACTTCCTTGGTCAAAAGAGCATGGCTAGATTTGGGGGCCTGCTGCCTGGGAGGGAGGGAGGGAGCACGAGCCAGAGAGCAGAGAACAGTTGGGGAAGGAGGGCTCCCAACATCTCTGCTGCTTCTCCTCCTGGCAGGGCAGCCACCTTGCTCCCAGGTCCCCCTGCCCTCCCGGGCGCCTGAGCTGTGAGTGGGAGCCAGCCCCCAAACTTCCCCATAGCCACCCAGGTATCCCTTCTCTCTGCCCCCAGGGGACATGGGGGGGCAGGAATAAGGAATCCTTCGGGGGTGCTGAAACACTCCGCACCCGTTCTGTTCTGAAACCTGCAGAGTATGTTGAACGCCAGGACAGCCAGAAATGAATAAACAGAACCAAACAAAACCACTTCCCCGAGCGCTGCGTCTCCGAAATGAAGAATGGCAACATTCCATTCCAATGCTTGGACAGCCCTGGAGACTTGTGTCCTGACTACCCTCAGGACGGCTGCCCGTGGGAATTTTCCTGCCCATGGACGCAGCCTAGAGGTGAGGAGCTCAGTTCTCAGATCTGATGGAAGTTCAGGATAAGCCTTCTCCAGCTGCAGCCATTCCGCAGAGGCAGCCACCAAGGGAGCGATTCTGGAGATCAGGCTCCCACCTCAGCACCCAAGGCCCATCAATAGCACCCTCACACTTAGGAAAGCAGGTGGGCACTAGTTTCTCCACACAGTGCAGCACATCGGTAGGGCTCGAGTGTCCACGGGTGAGCCAAGGCGCGCTATGCATGCTGAGCTAGGGCTACTTGACGCGGGTCTGTGCTCTACAATTTGGACGTCAGAGCTCTAGGGTCACGCCTGGGTCAGACAAGCCTTGATCTAGAGTTAAAATGCAGCTGCTCAAGCCCAGGGTTCCTGGCACAGATCAGCTGATTCGAGTCCCACTAACCGTAGGCGTATATTGTTGTGGAGACATACCCTATATGCCCCCTCCTGACCTCCAGAGGAGTTTTGTCCCCATAGGACGTGCAGGTCTAGCCATGCAGACGTTCCCCTACCACATGCAAACACAGCCAGAGAGCGGATGTAAAGAGTTTCTTTCTATAGTTACTGGCTGAGTCAACTTTATCAGGTGCATCAAGCATTAGAGGAGAATGCCAGGATCCAGGGAAGTCAAGGCTGGTCACCTTTACAGGGCGAAGGGCTGTGTCATTTCGATAGATCTTGACCTCAATACAAATGACCTCTAAGCCGAATACAACTTCTTATCCCGGAGAAAAATATGTGATTCTTCTAAACACTGTTAGAAGAGAACTACACCCGCCTAACCCAGCATAAGGAAGAGTAAAAAATAGCTTCTGCAATCCTTTACGGTTAGAGTATGTTCACTGGCAACAGCAGGAGAACGGAGGCTGGACTCCTGGGGTCTACCACTGAATCACTGAGTGTCTCTCTGCAAATCATTTGCCTGCCTGCCTCAGTTTCCCCAGGTGTAAAACAGAGATAATGTGTCCCCACTTCACAGGGGTGAGGCAGCCTGATTAACACCTGGAACGTTCTCCAGCTCTCAGATGGTAGGGGCTATAAAAATGCAAGGTACCTTTCCCCTCGCTACTCTTAAGCCTCCTAGTAATCCACACATGGGATTCCTACTGAGATTTATCTTATTCCTGCACCAACTCAACACCTTTCAGATGGCAGCAAACGTTCGTATCAAAACAAGGTACGTTCTGGCACCAGGAGACTCAAGTAATGATGGGGACCGGCTCTGGGATTTCTAACTGCATAAACGGTAGGACTGTGCCATGAAGAACGAGGATGTGGCTGAATTTGGAAAACAGAAGAGTCCCTTTGGGAGAATGAATCCCACCCTGATATGGGGCAGCTTCACAGCAACAAACGTGAATTCACTAGCTCCGACTCACTATTAGTCAACCAAGAACCTCACACTGGTGTCTAAAGATGCCCCTGTGAGTTAGGGAATGAGATACTGTTTTATGGAAGGCAGAGCAACTTGCCAAAATCACAGCAGCTGAGCCAAGAACAGAACCCTTCGGGGGGGAGGGGTAGCTCAGTGGTTTGAGCATTAGCCTGCTAAACCCAGGGTTGTGAGTTCAATCCTTGTGGAGGCCATTTAGGGATTTGGGGCAAAAATTTGTCAGGGATGGTACTTGGTCCTGCTGTGGAGCTAGGGGACTGGACTCAATGACCTTTCAAAGTCCCTTCCAGTTTAGGAGATAGGCAATCTCCATTAATTTAATAGGACTATAATAGAGTTTAAAGAGAAGCTAGATAATTTCATGGAGGTTAGGTCCATAAAAGGCTATTAGCCAGGGGATAAAATGGTGTCCTTGGCCTCTGTTTGTCAGAGGCTGGAGAGAGATGGCAGGAGACAAATCGCTTGATCATTGTCTTCTTGTCTTCGGTCCACCCTCTCTGGGGCACCTGGTGCCAGCCACTGTCGGCAGACAGGACACTGGGCTAGAAGGACCTTTGGTCTGACCCAGTACGGCCGTTCTTATGTTATGTTCTCCTCCCCACTAGACAATCCTCATTCCAATTTAAGGGGAAAACTATGTACGACTCCAACCACCAGAATAGGAGAGGATGAAGGCAGGTCTCAAAAGCCAGCAAGAGGCCCCACCCCGTTCCACCTCAGTGAAGGCAAAGACAAGGCGATGGGGATGCCCTTACCCATTTTCTTAGGCAGCAGGTAGACATCCTGTTTGTAGCGCCCTTCTGGGGCATTGTAGAGCTCTATCAAAGCCAGAGCCTGGGAATAAAACAACACATCTGGCTGAGCAACCCTCATGTACCATGGAGCAAAATGTCCTCTCGCTAGCCCTGAACATGGCTCACCTGAGTGGTTGCGGTGATGGACAATACAAAGGTGGGCACAGTGGAACAGCTCAGGTTCAACAGACGGCCCTGAGAAAGGAAATAAAGAAGCCCCTTAATCCACGTGGTGCCTTTTAGCCTGGAGGATCCCAAGAGAAGCAGAATGTGTATAAAAAGGACACGCACTGCTTCAAACCATTAGTGAAATGCAGCCTCGCTGGGGTGGAGCAGAGTACACAGCCACACACAACGGCTGTAAGGAGCCCTGTTCCCACTGGAACCTGCAGGGGGTGGGGCATAGGAAGGAGCAAACTCAAACGGGACTTTCGAGCCCGGGGCCAAGCCCTGTATGGGTGTGAAAAGGGCCATGGAATCAGACAGCAGCCCGCACCTTCCCAGCCCCATGCTGGGCACCAGCTCAGGTCCCAGGAGAGGGCCCCGTGATGGATCACCCACACACTGTGGAGCTGTCAAAGCTTTCCCGTCCAAGCACGGCCTGGCCAGGCCCAGTTTAGTGTGTGGGAGCTGATGAGATCACAGCCCGGAGAGGCAGCGTGAGGGAGAGACAGACATGCCTGGCAATGCTGCCAAAGGTTCCTCTGCAAAAGCCCCAGGAAATACTCGGCAGCCTCTCTTAACAGCAGGCGGTGGCCCTACGGAAGCCGCCTCTCTCCAGCGCGTCGGCCTCCCTCTGTCTCTGCAGCGGAGCCACCAGCACCGGGGGAAGCTCAGTCGCACGGTTCCAGAAGAGCGCAAGCAGAGGCCGTCCCAGCGGGTGGGCTATGGCGGGCCACAGGCCGCGCAGAAAACAACAGAGCGGCTCAGGCCATGCAGCCCACCAGAGGGACAGGCACAGCTTTCGGGGTGGACAAATGCAGAGCCCCTGGCGAGCTGCTTGGGCCCTGGCAGCCATCTTGAGAGGTTTCTGAGCACTGTGGCCCATTCAACCCTGGGCCTCTTTACTGAGGCGGCCCCTAGTGAGACAGATCCTGCCTTTCACCTGCTACTTACCTCTGCCAGCAGCACTATCCTCTTCCCATCTGGCCAGATGACATGGTCAACCTGAGACCTCACCCTCTCCCAGGTCAGCTCAGGTGTACGTAAGCTGGCCTGAAACACAGCAAACCAGACCGTGGCAGCTACAGCGCAGCCAGGGCAAGTAACACAGCCCCTCCACTTCCACCGTCCTGGGCTCTCAGACTCCTCCAGGCTCCACTGAAGTGAGACACTATGAATCACGTATGGCTCACTTATTCATTTATTATAGGCTGGCACTCTAACCTCAGCTGCAGTTTGAATTCTTCTGACTGCACAGCTAGCTCAAAGGCAGGCTGAAAACTGATTTATAGTCACGGACATTAGTCCCTCTGGCTGCTGGTTTCACCTTTCTTTCCAGGAACAGGGTGGCTGGCACCAAGGCACAGGCTATGTCTAGACTGCAAGCCTCTTTCGAAAGAGAGCGTCTAGACGGCACGCAGAATTTCGAAAAAGCAAGCCGCTTTTTCGAAAGAAAGCACCCAGTGAGTCTGGATGCTCTCTTTCTAAAAAGCCTGTTTGCTTTCAAGAACGCCTTCTTTCGAAAGAGCACTTTCGAAAGAAGTCGTTCTTCCTCGTGGAATTAGGTTTACCACCGTCGAAAGAAAAGCCGCATTCTTTCGATTTAATTTCGAAAGAACGCGGCTGCAGTCTAGACGCAGGTGAAGTTTTTTCGAAAAAAGGCTACTTTTTTCGAACTGTAACCATGGGTTGTGGATGGGCAAAACAAGCCTCTTTCCTCTGGGACTGCTTCCAGCAACAAACCCTTCTGGACTGGCACTGCAAGGAAGAGCCAGTCCTATTTTCCTGCTTATCTCCAAACCCAGATGAGCAGATTTCAAGTCCTGTGCAGTAATTGGCATCACTTGCCCCTAGGTTACGAGCAGTGCGCTGAATTCCACTCTGAAGCCTCAACAAGACCCTTCATGGTTTAATAATGGGAAAGTCACCAAACTTGCAGCAAACTAGCCTGCTGGTGGGAAGGAGGAAAAGGGCCTTTATACTCTTCCAGCTTTTATTTCTGAAGCTAAGCTAGTGCAGGCGCAGCTCTTTGAGGATGTCTTAGGCATTTTTTGCAGTACAAAACAGATGGTGGGGTAGAGGTCTAGTTTATTCCCCAGTCCCCTCAGGCCAGCCAGTCAGAAAAACTGGCCAGCCAGGAACCACTACAGATTGGACCTCCCTGGTCCAGCACCTGACCCGTCCTGGATTTGCTGGACTTGGGGAGGTAATTTCTGGCCCTGTTGTCCTGCTCAACAGCCCTCCTGGGGTGCACCGGGCTCCCGGCACTGCTCTCAACTCACTGCCAGCAGTCCACTGCCCTGCCGGCCCACAGGGCACCCAGCCGCCAGCCCTCCACTGGGACTCTCTGGTCCTGGAACATCCGTGGTCCTGCCAGACCAGAGAGTCCTGGCTTAGAGAGGTTCAGTCTGTACCGATGACTGACTAACTGATCTCAGAAGCTTTCAACACTCCTGAGAATGAGAATTAGGTGAGACGAGGGGAACCAATGAAATGAACGGAAGACACCCTCTCCCAGATACCCACCAGAGAACACACCAGTGCTTACCACGTCAATTTCAGTGTTAGAATGGCCCATGTTGCACACAATACAACTGTTCTTCATTCTGTCCAGATGCTCTCTCGTCACTACGTTCTTGTTACCTTTAAACCCAGACATATATGGTAATACACAGGAGTGATGACACAGCTACAGTAAGTTCACCAGTGCAGCCCACTCCAACCAACCAGGTTTCACTTGAGTTTTAGAAACAGGCATTCCTTTTTTCACAATTTTTTTTTCAAAAAGCTAGAATGAAAACTGAATGTCTCTCTCTCTCTCTCTCACACACACACTGAACGACGTGTGAACCTGGCTCTTTGGCCAGCAAACCAGAGGGATGCACAAACCCGTCTGGATAAACCAGACTAACCCCACTGCTTGCTAAGGAATGCCCACCCCCAAACTCAAATGAAATTTCTCTGGGTTTGAATGAGCACCACCAAAAGCTAGAATGAAAACTGAATGTCTCTCTCTCTCTCTCTCACACACACACTGAACGACGTGTGAACCTGGCTCTTTGGCCAGCAAACCAGAGGGATGCACAAACCCGTCTGGATAAACCAGACTAACCCCACTGCTTGCTAAGGAATGCCCACCCCCAAACTCAAATGAAATTTCTCTGGGTTTGAATGAGCACCACCGCTCCTCTGGTTTGGAACAGAAAGGACTAAAATAGCTTGAGCGTCCTCACAGTGTTTCTGCCATGAGGAAGTTCTGGGAACCGCCCAAGAAGAGGATGGCAGGGAGCCTGCTCTCTCAAAAAGACTAGCTCAGACGAGCTTGTTCTAACGAGTATCTGAGCTCTTAGGTGCGTAGGGGAGATCAGCTTTGTGAAGGTCTAGACACAAGCAGGTCTCCTGTACCGTAGCTGCTTGTCACCTCATGTGAGGTGAGGTGTTTGCCATTCGAGACATACAAGGACCTTGGCTGTAGGTGGAGTGTGACATGGACTTGGCAGCCTTCTGCAGTATTTATTGGGTGCAGGTAGCTGTGCTCTGCCCTTTCCCTAACTCCACTGGCTGCTGGCCCACAAGCTAAACATGACAGAATAAGCATGTTCCTGCCAATGGCAGCGCATGGGACTGGCCAGCGACTAATGTAAAAGTGCCTCCTTGTTTGGAGGACTATCATTGGCTGCTGGGAGTTAGCAACTTTACAAAAGTATCCTACCAGGCCCGCCTATTTGAACTGTACCGCTGCCCCACTCCAAAGACAGGGGTTTGACCAGCACATCTAGCCCATGTGACCTTGCAGCTCCTCCCATTACCCCGGGACACACCAACCTGTACAGGTGATGACAATGTCGACCTGTCTGATCACCTCGTTGAGTTTCACAAGGCGGAATCCGTCCATGCTGAGAGAAAACAGAGAAAAACCTACAGAATCAGAGGGCTGGCTGTAACACACCACACACCCCGACGCGAGGCTGAGCTGCCAAGAGGAACCCTTTGGGGCCAGACTGGGACCCACTGGTGCTGCACACTGATGGGTTTGTAGCAGCACCAAGAACAGTGTTGGCCCAGAGGATCTTACACGGGGTGTTAGTGGGGAAAGTGACGTGGCTGAGTTCCATGTTTTCTATCAATCATTCTAGATCAGAGTCTCAAGTATACTGCAGGTATACGGCACTTCTAGCGGTCAGCCCTGAAAACTGCACCTGGGATCTGAAAATCCCTCTCCACCAATTACAAAGAAATTAGGGCACCATTTTCAACCCTGGCTGCCTAACTCCATACTTAGGCACCAAGATTCTTGTCCTAAACAGCTCCTCCTGACTTCAGTGGGAATTGCAGGTGTCAGCACATCCAAAAACAAGGCTATATTTTTTTAGGGTCCTAAATATGGATTTATGCATGTAAATCTAGGCCCTCTGACTTGAAATATTTGGGGTTAAATTTTCTCTCCTATTGTGACCACCAATGTTCCCTCCATTTTTCCCCACACATGCACAGAATGAATTTTATTTTGGGTGACACATCACCTCCATATTGGTGCACATAACAACATTCATGTAGTGGGGGTGGGGCAGGGGAGTTCAGAGTGTGGGAAGGGGCTCAGGGCTGGGCCAAGGACTGAGGTGCAGAGGTGGTGAGGACTCCACGACGGGGCCAGTGACAAGGGGATCAGGGCCAGTGTGTGTGAGGGGTGTGTGCAGGGTTTGGGGTGCAGGCTGCCCAGAGGCCACCACAGTGAGACAAGACTCCCCCCAACCCTCTCTTGCTGCAGCAGCACCTGGGCTGGGCTGGGCGGGGAGAGGCACCTCTCCTCCCGGATGCAGCAGGTCCATGCCGAGGCTGGGGTGTCTCTCCCCTGGCCACAGCAGGTCTGTTCTGGGGAAGAGGCATCGCTCCCCCCGGCACTCTGAGGGTGGAGCTTAATAGGCTGCTGTGCAGCTTAATGGGAACTTAAGTGACCACCCAATATCAGTTTCCAAAGTCAGCCCCCGCATGAAAATCCCTCCCGCAATATCACTTCTATTGTGCCTATGAGGAGCATGGCCATAATTACAACACAAAACAAATGCAAGTGGTTCCCTCCTCTTTTGACTCTGGGTATCCCATCTCCTCTATGCCTGTCTCTCACAGAGAGAAATCGTCAAGGAAAGGGCTGCCTATCTTTGTGACTTGTACAGTGCTGGGTATACGGTTGGTACGAAGCAATCACATTGACAGTCAATTAGCCCGGAGGGAATTCTGCAATTGATGCGCTTGGAGCCACAGTCAAAGTACAGAGTTCCCCCAGGACTGACAAACGGATGCATGAGGTGGAAAGGTCTCCAGCTGACTCCCTTATAGCTGGATTGTCTCTTGCAGTTTTATGCATGTTACCAAGCAGACAGAACCACAGAGGCGTGGATCAGCTCTGCTGAGCAAGCAAAGCCGAGTCGTTACTGTTCTGACCATAACTGCACTTTGGAAGTTTGAAGAAAGAGGCTGGTGTGTTTAACAAGGCCCTAAAGCAAAATGACACTCTGACCTTCCAACCCCTTTTTGCTGCAGTTCTTATGCGTAAGTGGTATCTCTGCTGTAAGCCAGATTTCATTTGGAGAAAATGAGGCCAGAGAGAATTGCAGCACCGGTGTGTGAGGGGATAGCTGTGTGCTGTCAGTCCCAGTTACAGCACCAGGATCTGCAATGTGGATGATCTGAGAAACTGACATGTTCCTTCAGTGGACCCCCATGGAACACAAGCAGGGCAAAGTGTGATATGCAGGGTGAAAATTCTATCATCTCGACACGCTGTAGCACTCTGACCATCTCACAGTCGCAAAAACCTTCAATTGCCTCTTAAAACCACCGCTGTCACTCCAGTTGAGCTGGCTAATCCATGGCTGCAGATCAGCAGGCTGCTCCTCAGGAGAGACACGCAGGACTGATAGCAGCTATGAGCAAGGGATCACGCTGAACCCGTGGCACTGGGACAAAGCTAGGGATGTAAAATCCCGTTTAACAGGTTCAACGTGAAGTTTAACCAGTTAACTGATTGAGGAGGGGGGACTGGAGCTGCCCCCTGGGCCTGTCGCAGACAGGGACTGGTCCGGATGCCCAGAGCAGCCCCTGTCTGTGGCAGACTCTGTAGGGCAGAGCAGCCCTTGTCTCACTTCCCTAGACACAGCGCTTTTCAGCGCTAGTCCGGAGAGCGCCTGATGCTGACAGAATCCCGCTCTCAGTCTTACTGACCTATGGAAGGACCCAGATTCCCCACTGCCCCTTACCAGGCTTGCAGAGCACAGATGGGATCGATCTCGGTCACATACACTATGGAGCCCATGGCCTTCAAAGCAGCGCAGCAGCCTTTTCCAACCTGCAGAGCGAACAGAGCACAAGGACAGAGGATGAGAAGTCAGAGCGCTCGATAAGCACCGTCTGCTCTCTACAGAAAGGGGAAAATCTCCCCTTTGCAAATCTAAGATCAAATTTACTTCCCCTCTCTGCATTCAGCCCAGGCACACCGCTCCGCTGTAAACTGTATGAACACAATGCACACAGGGCGGGAGGGGGGAAAAAGCCGTTGAAATATGAAGCATAACTAACCAGAGCTACTTTGCTACCAGTAAGAGGACCCAAAGCAAAACCCCAAAACCAAATTCAACCCAACTTTAGGTGAGACTGGATCCACCCCAAACTTTGTGGCTAGTATTAAAGAGTATTGCATTAAAATCCAGGAATTTGAGAGATCTGGATCGGGCCCCAACTTTAGTAACGGCACAACTAGATGTTTGAAAAATTCCATTCCGTTACCGCACAGTTCCTTTTCTTCTTACCTCCCATGCCTAGAAAGCCAGACTGGTGCATTAAAAACCAAACTTCTTACCTTGGGGGAGTCTAAGGCTATGTCTACACTACTGATGCTACAGTTGCATAGCTACATGGCTGCAATGTATCCCTGAGGAATAGATGCACACTACAATGACCAAAAAGGTTTTCTCTATTGAGGGAAAACCAGCTCCTTTAGTGATAGTAATGGGGCAATGGAAGCACCTTTCATATAGCACACCTTACTGTGTCTATACCAGGGATTAGCTTAACACAGCTACAATGCTCAGGGTTTTGATTTTTTACACCCCTGAGCTCTGTGGCTACATCAACCTAAGGTTTAAGTGTAGACCAGACCTTAGGGTTTCTTGTATTCATTAATCTATTTGGACAGCTCAGTATCAATGTTTTACCCGTGACACACTCAGTAAACCTGATGGGGAGTTCAAGGGCATGGCTGACTGGACCAGAATTCCCCCACATGTGATCACCACGTGCATTCAACTCTTAAATCACAGTGGAACCACCGCATGTTTGTGCTGCGGCTCGTGTGAAATGATTTGGGGGTTCTCAGTCCAGATCAGAATACTCCCCACCATAACTGCTACTAACAAGTCCCCATGTTGGAAGCCCCAGCTGAAAGAGGGGGTGGGGGGTAAGAGAGAGACAGAGAGAGAGAGAGAAAATATGGAGACTGAATTTCCCACTTTCACCTACTCAGATGATCCCTCCAGAAAGCTCATTGGCAGGTCAGCATTAAGATGGATTGACGATTTCAGTGGGCAATGAATGCTACAGAAAACCTTCACCCCTCCCCACCCCCATCCCACCCCTGAAGCATCAGACTTCTTGTACCAATAGATTTCAAAAGAACAGAGAAATAAAAATGCAGAGAAATTATAGCAGGGGAAACACCCCTTTATTTTTGCCAAATTGCACTCATTACTTTTAGAAGCAGGTTTTAAGATAACTGCAGATGCCGAGAGACGCCACAGAGACACAAAGCATCCAAGGACCCAGCTACGTGAAGAGAATCTCTAATTCTACAAGCAGCAGCCACCAGACAGCACACAAAGCACATTCTGTGTGATGAAATTTTGAAGTGTTACCTCTCCATAGCCACAGACCACCACTTGCTTTCCTCCAAACATCATGTCTGTCGTCCTTTTAAGGCTAACGGGCAAGAATCAAAACAACTGCTATTAGATGCAACCCTCAATATCAAGGCATACATAAAAGTAAACCCATGTCAGTATTTAATGGGTAATCAGAATCTCTTAAAATTAGTGCTGCTGACACTTTTTTTTTTTGCTCAGCTGAGGTGAAATTCCCTCCGTTGACAACTATCCCACCCCAGAGACAACACTCCATTTGGTGGGCTGATCATGCTCCTTTTCAACAGGACCACTGGGGAAAAAAACATTTTTCTTCCCCTAAGGGCAAAATAGATACAGGTGTAAATCACTTTGGAATTACATGTTAGTATTTCAAGGGCAAAATCTGGCCTCTTGTTTCTTCTTGGGGTGGGGGTATCTCAGAATGGGAACCTCCAGAACTAGTCTTCCCCATGGCAGTGCAAAATGCTGCCATCCAAGACACGGGGTTACAATGGAGAGTTTTCCACACAATGGCCCCCAGAAGAGACGCTGCAGAAGACAAACGATGGTTTCCTGGCACGATCTTGAAGGTTTGTACAAGTAAGACTCTTCCTTCCAGTCTGTTTCCATCTCCCTAACAGTGTCCTACATTACAGTCTATTTTTAGCTTGAAAGTAAATAGGTTAGCAGTGTGGGGAAGGCAAAATTCCCTTCCTTTTCAAATGAATTTAGACAGAAATCCCTGCAGATTTAGCTGCACTTTTGCACCGATTTTCTCTTGCTCTGTTTAAGAGGTTGGAGTGAGGTTTTATCTTAGAGCTCAACTTACTTACATCTATTACTATTCAACAGGACACAGCAAGATAAGGAGGTGATTTTGAATTTCTACATTGAAAATGGTCACTGGTAATTAACACGTTGCATACACATGCACCCAACTTTACATCATGCTGAAAATCTGGAAGCAATTCTACCTTCAGTTGTAAGATTTCTAGGGCAGGGACTGTGTTTTCATTACACACGTGTGCTTTATTCAGCACACTGAGACCTTGATCCCTAACTGGGATGCCTTGGTGCTGCTACAGCGTAAGGAAGAGTAGTTCAACAATGCAGTTGCATTAGCCCTCAGAGCCATTTAGTTTCACAAAACTTCTGTACAAACGCCCAAGAGACTGAGATAAGCCAGTCTATAACTAGCTACATCTCTGCGCTGTATCACTAGAGTCTGCACAGGATTCAGGATAGATTAGGATTGTATCTGAACACCCTAGGGAGGCAGGAAAATACCATCCAGTTTGTGCAGATGGTGGATTAAGCAACCTGCCCAGGGCCACATAGCAAGTGTGTGGCCAAGCTAAGTGATGAACTCGATTTTCCGAGTCCAAGCTAGTGCCCCAATCACAAGACCATCAATCTCATAATATCTAAAGAAAGGAATAAAATAAAAAAGCAGGTAGACAGGTCAGAGTCTACTGCTGAGGCTGGATTTGCTGCGCTATCCCTTCAAACTTATGGGAACCAATCTTCTGATTGAAGGCATCAGCTGATCACCACAAGTTCTTTCCCCCAGTTCCCCTCCACAACATGAGCACTACTGATAAGATTCAATATTGGGGAACCTGCCTTCCACTGAAACATTAGGGCTAGGCAAAGAAGGACATGGTATGTCAGATTAGGATGGGCTGAGTCACTAACGCAAATCCTATGTTTTCACAAGAAATTAATTTTTAATATTTCCATATGTTCCTTTAGAACATACGACTTCTACACTGGGTCAGACCAATGGTCCATTTAGCCCAGGATTCTCGCTCAAAGCAGACTTTCAGGGGGTGTACACATCAGAGATATTTTGTAGCATCTACTTCTGTCTTCTCTTCCAGGCTTCCGGCAGTCAGAGGTTTAGGGTTATCATGAGCATCTTGGCTAATAGCACTGATGGACCTATCCCCCATGAACATAGCTAGCTCACTTCTGAATCCAGTTATATTTTTGGATCGCACAACGATCTATGCAATGAGTTCCACAGATAGTTGAGAGCTGTGTGAAAAAATATTTCCCCATGTGTGTATTAAACCTATTGCCTATTCATTTCTTTGGGTGACTCCTGGTTTTTGTATTGTGGGAAAGGGTAATTTACCACTTGCCTACTCACTTTTTCCGTTCCATTCCTGATTTTAGAAATCATCATCACATCTCTCTTCAATCACCTCTTTTCTAAGTGAAACCGCCCCCATCTTCTTAATATCTCTTCATATGGAGACCATCTTGCATCATTGACAGCATTTGCTGTCCTTTTTGAACTTTTTCCAGTTCCACTACATCCTTTTTGAGTGGGGTGGCCAAAACTGGATACAGTGGTCAAGTTGTACCGGGGATTTATATAGTGGCAACATTATAATATTTTCTCATTTTCTATTCCTTTCCCAATAATTCCTAACATATCAGCCTTTTTGTCAGTTACTATGTGTTGAGCTGAGGTTTTCAGAGAACTATCCACAAACCCCAAGATTTCTGTCTTGAATGGTAACAGCAAATTTAAAACCCATCATTCTCTAGGTATGCTTGGGATTATTTTTTGCAGTGTTTGCATTTACCTGTTTTGAATTTCATCTGGCAGTTTGTTGCCCAGTCACCCAGGTTAGTGTGCCCGTGTCTAGTCTAAATACACCCAAGCCTGGAAGTCATATAGAGTGCTCTGTTTAGTCAGGAAGCTACATACCCATCAAGAATGGATTCTCTGCAGCAGTAGAGGTTATCAAACTTCTGTTTGGTGACAGAGTCATTGACGTTCATAGCTGGGACACAGAGTTTCCCAGCTTTAGATAACTGGTACAACCTGTTAGGAATAAGGGAGAGAACTTCAGAAATGAACAGAGACAGGTTTTCCTATGTTCTGCCAACGTACTCTCCCTTATCTCTCTTGATTAGCAGGCAAGGAGTGGCACATACCTCTAAAATCAAAGTTAGCATCTACCTATGGACAGCCTACTAATTCCAGCATGCGAGGTGTGTCCCTCATTTAAAAAACACTTATGCTTGTCCCCTCCAGAAAAAATTGCCACTATAAAATTAGAATCTAGACTAGCATGTTCTGAACTTTCCCACTTCATGTTTTTATCTAGTGCACCATAGCATGCTTCTTGCAATTTCAGATCAGTACCCCTGAGATGTCCTTTCTAGGGATGTAAGCGACTAGTCAAGTAGTCAACAAGTTGCTCCCTCCCCTCCCCCCCCCACCTCTATCAGAGGCAGCAAGGGGGAGGAGCAGGATCTGGTGTTGGGTGAAGCCAGCTTAAAAGCTGGTTCCCCCCAGCACTATCTCCGAGGGGTGAAGGGCAGAGGTGCAGTGGGGGGCTGCTGAGAGTCAGAATCAGCTGTCCCGGCCCACACCTGGTCCCAGACGCTGCGCCTCTGCTTTTAAAATGAGCTGGCTGGTATCCTGCAAGCCAGAATTTGATAGGCTCTCTCACAAACACATTCAGTACAATCGTGTTCTCCAGACCTTCTTGCTCTCTGCTGTTTGCCACCACCTGGATAACTCTTCTGTGCAAAACTACCCAACTGTGTATTTCCTTCCTCACACACTCTGACCCCCCCTACAAGCTTGAAATGTTAGCTCCCAGATACACTGATTTCCCACATCTAATGCTTCAAAAGCGAAAGGTGTCTGCGTGCCCCCATCAGCATCCTTAATTCAGACCTTAGCCCCAGTCTAGAAAGAACGGAGGGAGTTATCTTTAACCTTACTTTGCTCTTTACACTATGCTTTACCCATACATCTCTGACTGCCATTGCTAGAACGCTGTCAAATCAGGCCCTTTTCTGCATTTTGCCTGCTGAAATCTTAATAAGCTTTCAGCCACTACTTCCTGTCTCGAGTCTCAATTCCCTTTTTTGCAGCATGCCGAAATCCCGATGCTGAACTCCAGTCAGGCTAAGAGCTGCTGCCACACTCTGCTCTCACTGCAACAGCAAGAGACTTCCGTCCGCATCCTCGGTCACTTGGCTAGTTCCCTACCCTTCCCTACTGTTCAGAGGCAACCCACCCCTTCCCTCCACCTGAAACTGACTTGCTCAAACCGCACCCAGGCTCAGACCTTCCTTCTGACCTAATCACGCCTCCCACCACTTCCTCTGCTGGGCTATGAGTCACTCATTTGGGCTGCTTCGCCTATCTGGAATTCTACCCCTCCCTCAAGCAATGGAGTCACTTCCTCTTACAATATTACTCCTGGTGCACTGCTGGGTGGGACTGGCTCTAAGCTTCTCCCTTTCCTCAAGGCCTAGGATGCTTTCCCCTTTGTACTACAAGGCCAATCCTCACTCCTCGTCTCACTGTCCCTGCCCCTAGCAATGTGGGCAAGCATGACCCCCATTTTAGAGATGGGTGAGCAAGAGGTGAGATGCTTTTTCAATGTCACGCCAAGGTCAATGGCAGAATCAGAGCGAGAACTCAGTAGTTCCTACCTCCTACTCTCAGGTTCAGCTCATTAGTTGTTTTAAGATTATTTTTATATAGCAGAGAAAAAATATGATTTTTTATTTTTAAGACCTAGTCCAAACCAATGGGAAACTACTCCAAGGCTGGATCAAAGTCCAGGCAACTGTCCGAGATTCTAGCGTGTACTGAGCTGAGCATATGCTAACATACACATGACCCTCTGCACAGAGGGGGCTAAGTGTTTGCTGCAGATACAGCTCCATTACCTGTGCACACCGGTCACACTCTCTTCTACTATCCCCTTGATCTTCTTAAACATGTTGGGATATTTCTTATAAATCCAGTGGGTCAGGTCCCCTCCATCATCCAAGATCTGAAATGAGAACGTTGCACCAAGTCACTGTACCGAAATCCAGCAAAGCCACCGACCTCTTTCATGAATAACACGAGGAGTAAATTAGTCACTGAATTCCAGTTTCAGACACAACTCCTTGCCGTGGTATCACGGAGGCCATTACAAGCCAATAGACAAAACCAAGCCAGGGGTTATTCAGCGCAGCAATGACGCTTGGGTTACATTTTCTGTTTAACGAGGCAGGAAAGGCACTAGAGTCTTCTGTATTTATCCCCGGACTAGGGACAGCGCCAATAGCAGCCATGCAAGTCCTCTCTCCCCACTTGCTCCAGCAAGAGGAACCGGCTTTGGAAGTGACAGGGAAGTGTTTGTTGGCCATAGCCCAGTCTCTGGCGTTTCTGCTGGACTCCCTCTGGTAAGGCCAATGAATGAGGGGCCATTGAACATCATTTAGGCAGCAACTTTGCATCACATTCCCAGGTGGGTTTGAACTTAGAACCTAGAAGTACAAGGCTCCGGAGCACATTACCAATCCCCTGAACTCTCCATCCCTCCTAATGGACCATTTGCCAAGGGAGATAAAAGCCCCAGTGTGCAAGACATTCCTTTGGGTCGAAAATTAATAGGCCAACTTACTGCTTTATTAAAACAGTTAAAAATGAACCAATCTGCTGGTGTGGGTTCTATGCTCAACACAATTGCTCACTGAAAAATTAACACCTTATTAAGGACCATAATTCAGCCTAGGATCCTAGAAATCAGAGATGGGAAAAGATCTCAAACTTTCTAGTCCAGTGAGCTAGGGGTCCCTGGGGACCCACAAAGTGTTCACAGGGGAGCGCTGGGGACAATTTTTAATGGATATGCCTGTTTTTGCTTTTTTTCCCTCTAATTAAGAAGCCAATAAAATCAGCTTAACAATGACCTGATTTCCCTAGGGGTCTGGGTCTTCTGTGGCAGCTGTGGTGGGGCTGGCAGCCTGTCTGTGCCCTCCACTCCTACAGGGCATTTCCAGTCCAGTGAGACAGAGCACCCTAGGGACCCACAATGGCTTGTCTGAAAGCCCCCTGCTGCTGAAGAGTGAAAAGAGACGGCACCACTAAGATAGCGCTGCCTACAGCACCGGCCAGCAGGGATAGGGGATGGGGCAGACAAGAGCGTTTCACTTTGCAATGGAACAATTTTTACCGAGGACTAAGTCTACACGTCGCAAACGTCGGGCTGAAGATGACGATGTGAATGAAGTTAAGCAGAGCAGCAGGAACAAAGGTGACAGCACCATTCCAGGTACAAGACGTTTGAATTTTCATGACTTGTGTTCACTGTAGGGTAGCCAGTCTCCTGGAATCTGGCTCAGTCTCCAAGGGGCTCCTGAACCCAACCCAGGACATGAGCTACTAAAAGTCTGGTGGCGCATTGGGGCTAAGGCAGGTTTCCTGCCTGCACTGGCCCTGTCCTGCTCCCAGAAATGGCTGGCATGTCTCTTCCCATGGCCCCTACGCAGGAGAAGGGAGAATCTCCACTGCTGGCTCCCCCCTGAGCAATGACCGTAGCTCCCATTGGCTGGAGCCTGCGGACAATGGGCGCTGTGGAGACGGTGCCTACAGATGCAGCATGCAGAGCCACCTGGGCAGGGCTGCAAGGACGTGCAGGATACTTCCAGAAGGGTGCAGGGCTAGGGTAGGCAGGAAGCCTGCCTTAGTTCTGCTGTGTTGTCAAGCAGGACTCACCCAAGGTAATCACCGCCTGTCCACAGCCTGCACCCCGACCGCCTTCCACAACCCAACTTCCTGCCCCAACACTGAGCCCCGTCCCAGAGCCCACACCCCAAACTCCTCCTGCCCCCATCCTCTGCCCCTCCACCCAAACTCCCTTCCTAGAGCCTGCACCCCTCACCCACTTCTGTACCCAAATCCCCTGGCCCAGCCCCGAACTCCTTGCTGCACCCAAACTCCCTCCCAGCACCTGTATTTCCCTCCTGCACCCACACCCCTGTCCCAGCTCAGCCCAGAGCCCCCTCTCTCACTCTGAACCCTACCTCCCCCAGGTGCGAGTGAGCATGGAGGAGAGCAAGGGGTGGAGGGAGGAAGGACAGACTGAGCAGAAATGGAGAGGGAGAGAAGGGCCGAGGCAGAGATGTTTGGGTTTGTGTGGTTAGATAACTATAGCTCAGGGCCAGTTGACAGAACAAGCTTTTTCACTGCAGCTTGGTGAATCCAGACCCAGCAAATATGGCTCAGTTTCAGTGCCATGTGAGATTTCTGAAGGCAGGTACTAGAATGGAAGAATGGTTATTGAACCAGACCCACTCTTCTCACTAAAATCTTAGGCAGCGTCCAAGCACATCAAAATCCGTATTTTTAAATTACAGTTAAAAAAAACAACCACCAATGAGATTCTAGAATTAAACAAATGGTTGAATAAAGTTGCAAAACTCTCCAAACTCTAATGACCCTCTTGAAACCAGAGTCCAGAACTCTTCTAGCATTCTGAAGCTTTTTTTAAACAAAAAGCTATTTGGTGGTAGAGAGAGACGACAGTTTAACTCTCTGTAGAGAAACCGGGCCCTCCGCACTGTAAGTCTGGAAACACAGTTCTAATCTATCTCTCCATTGTCAGTGTTTTATCACCCAACAAAAGGCAGCATATGAAAGAGTGGTTACCAGGCCATTACGAAACACATTTAATCTATAAGAAAGATGCAGCCCATGCTACAATAAACTACTGTGTGGCATTAGTTGATTTTATCGTTTGGGTTTTCTGTAGCATACAATAGCATCTGCAGGATGGATTGGGGATTTTCAGCCACAGATTTTGTCTACCACAATGGGAGTAAATTCACTGCATGCTGTCATAGCTGGGACATGACTGGTGCGACCTAGTGGTCAAAGTAGGAGTCAGGCTGTGTCTGAGACCAGGAGATCAGGCTCAGAGATAGGCCATCAAGCAGAGTCCAGCGTCAGTTGGCCGGCAGGATCAGAGTACCAGAAGGAGACAAACTTCAGAGCAGAACCACAGATCGATAACCAGAGTCAGATTAGTAGAGGGTACCAGGAAGTGAAGCCGGGGAGCAGGAAGCACAAGACCAACATGAATCCAGTTGCATGAACAACTTCCTGTTCTCCTGTGCCGATTTAAATAAGGGCGGTAGACCAAACATGGCCCCCGCGTTCTGCCAATCGGCTCCCAGGACTGGGTATCTTTATCTGAATCCAACTCATATTCTAACAGACCCCTGGGTGGCAGGTTGGACCCTCCAAGCACCAAAGAGCTCTAGGACCAGAGTTCATGACCCACCTCACTAACATACATTGACTGAAGACCCATGAAAAGGATCAGAAAAACTTCTGACAGAGATTGTTAAGTGGCAGATGCCTGTTTAGGTTCCCTTCCCCCGGCCCCAATCCTCACTACCTCCAATTACTACCTCCCAGCAAAGCCCAAATGCAAAGAAAGGGCGGGGAGCTCTGCCCCCAACTCTGAGCTCTTCTGTTGGGGTGTCTAAAGGATTCAGCATGTTCCACAAGCGCCCAGCACTGCTCTGCTCTGCGCTGAATGCTCCATGTGACTTACAGCATGTCAAACACTCATCTCAGCATCCCCACAGCCAGGCAATGAAGAGCACTTCTCACCTTGCCGCCACAAAACTCTGCTTTGCGTGAGTCTCAAATAGGCAGCTGCACTCAGCCGCCTAGGCCCTTGCGTGATACTCCTGTGCGGACTGTGCCTGGATGGAATACAGAGCCATCCTAAAGGGTATCCAGGTAAAAGTCTTTTATTCCCACGATTACACTGCACAGAGTTTCACAAGGTTCCCTCGTCCCACTGGGGTATAATAAAACCCCACTGCAGACAGAATGTGCACCTCCTTAACTCCCTCACTTCCCATGGCTGGCTCCAGGTGGGTAGTGGAAGTGACACCCCAAACACAGTGCACAATGAGTTCTCCCATCACAGCAGGAGACAGCAGCAGGTCCCAGAGGAAACCCAAAATGGGTTTGGCTGAACAGTAGCTGGAAAAGCCTAGCTCTTTGCACCCTCTACTGGCTCAGCAGTAGCCGTCTGCCCATAGCAGTGTTGCTCACAGAGAACTCTACCAGACCCAGATGCTCTGGTGCTACCCTGCGCTGTATCGCATTATTGCTCTGTTCCAAACGCTGTTTTAGCTCCATTCCAAATGCAAAATTCACTCCCAGCATCCCAGGCACACTGCACAATGGAACATCAGCCGCGTACTTGACAATATCCAGCTGAGTTTTCTCCTGCGATAACATGCTGGCAGTGTGTTCACTGAGCCAGAACGCTGCCAGCGTCGCTGTTTATACAGTGATTTGGAAATGCGCGGTGTTGTTTATTATTGAAGCCCATACCCTTAATCTCTATTTGTCCTTTGAGGACGAGCTCCTCAGAGCAGGGACCAACTGCTCCTTTCTGAATGTTTGGCAAAAGCTTAGCCCACTGTGAGTACTTCACAAAATAATAAACACACCTCCTTTTCTTCCAAGTACTTTACAAGCAAACAAACTCCTGTGTGTGCAGATATCATTCCCATTTAACTCATGGGGAAACCGAAGCACTGAGCAGTTAATGACTTGCCCAAACCCACACAGAGCAGTGGCATTGCTCAGCAGTTCCTGGCTCCGCAATCTGTGCTCAGAGCACACTTTTCACATCAATTCGAGAGCTCTAATGTAATAAAGACACTGAGATGATCGTGAAATATGAGAGATGAGACCCATTCTCCCCTCCTGATTCCTTTCAAACTACCCATATACTCGGAGTACGCACAAACTACTGAAAACCTTGGTTTTATTAATCCTCACTTAATTGATAGGGCAGAGAGTCCTCTTGTGAAAATGCCTAAACAGGACAGATTTCTGGGTTTTAGTCAGTTTCTCCTTCTAGGAGAATATAATATAAAAGGCATTAAGGTTTGAATAAACTTTAAAAATAATGAATAGTCTAGTAACACCTTAAAGACTAACAAAACATGTAGATGGTGTCATGAGCTTTTGTGG